GTTTATCAGTTGATACTTTTAATAAATAGTAAGTGACTTTTTAATGGAATTATTAGTGCTACATATACAAATTGCCTGATAATTTAGTAATATAAAGCATGGCTTCTATCAAATTACATTTCAGTAATGACCTACTTACAAAAGTCATCTTTTTATAAGTGTTATTTGTGTATACAAATACTTTCCAAATAAATTGAATATTGTCCTCTATCTGAAATAAAATACTGAATCAAAAGGATCTATACTGCCATCTTCTGTCATATATGGTCTCGTAAATATCCCAAAGTAAAGTAACTAAAAAGATTGTATTAAATACATTAACATGTTTCTACCTATTTCATATTGGTTTGTTACATATATTTCCTCTTGACTTATAAAAATTGGTATAATGTTTAGCTATTAATGACAGGTTTGTAAACGTGTTCTAGCTCTGCAATACTTTTCCCATAATGTCTACAAGCCAAGCTGTAATTCTTTAAATAAATGAAAATTTTTCCTCAACTGGCTTAATAACTATGGATAAATACTATTTATTGCTAGGAATGAAAGAAGGTTCAGTATAAATTCTATTCTTACTTTTCATATTTATAAAGGTAAGAATTCTTGTTTAACATAATATTATCAGGAAGATTGGGAAAATAAAAATATTGTCAATTTTATTACCCCTTTATCAATACATTTTTATCTTAATAAAAGAGCTTTCCATTTAGCTTATTCAATTTATGTAATATGTTTGCCATATAACCTAACTGGAAAAATCAGTCCTCATTTTCACAGCAAAAGCAATTAGCCAAAATCAGACTCATCTTAGAAAGGCTAATTTCATTTTTCAATACAAATCATATTAAGAGGTGTCATTCTTAAAACATGTCAAATTGTAATTCAGGGTAGATACATAAGTAGGTAGGTAGGACACAGAAGCCACGCTCTGGTCAATGGGAGGAGTGAAGAGATCAGTGGAGGCTCCCCAGCTCACCTAATCATACACATATAAAACAGATGTGTGCATATATGTATATACACCTCTAAAACAACATGTGTTTCCACTAATAATATTATCAGAGACATCTTTCCATATCAGTATACACAGATTTACTTTATTACGTTAACAGCTGCATAGTAATTCACATGATGGGTATACTGTAATTCATTTAACTATGTTTCTATTAAAGACATTTAGGTCGTTTCCAAGTTTTAACTATTATACATACATATCTTCCTACATATGTATGGGTATTTCTGTAAGATAGATGTTTTGTCTTGGACTGGGATAACTGGGTTAAAGAGCATGAACTTTTTACCTTTTGATAAATATTGCCATAATTGTCTTCCAAAAGGACTACATCAGTTGATTCCTCACATTCTTATGATTTTTTTGATGAACATTTTTTCGTTTATTTGTACAATGAATACTATGCAGCAGTTGAAGTCAATGAGTAGATACTACATGTATCATTTTTATTAAAGCTCAAAAACGTAATGTTGCTCAAAAAAGCAAATTGCAGAATAATACACGTACACAATGAAGACAACTACACAAATACTTGAAAACATGAAAGCACTGTATATTATTAATACATGGAAAATTTTGCCAATTTGATGGAAAAAATGGTATGTCATTTATGTTTCCATTTCATTACCCTGATTATTAACAATGTTGAACCTCTTTTCATTTGTCTATTGGCTATTTGTTTTTCTTCTTTCATGTACTACCTCTGATACCCTATGTACTGCCTTCATATTCTTCCCTTGTTTTCCATGGAGTTGTTTTTTTTCAAGGATAAGGTACCTACCTCTCTTTGTCTAATTGCTTCATCTAAAAAATGGGATAATAACAGTTATCTACTTCATTGTTAAATATTAAATGAGCTAATTCATATAAATATAGTACCTGGCCCATTGTAAGTACTCAATAGATATATATATTTATTATTGTTTATAGGAGCACTTTGTATATTATGGCTATTAATCCTTTGTTGATTATATATGTTGCTGGTATTGTCTCTAATCTGCTACTTGTCTTTAACTTTTTTAATAGTTCTTTCAATTTGTATGTTATAAAATCTATAAATTTTCCTTTATGCCTCCAGGTTTTGTGTTTTTGGAAATCTTTCCTCACTGTGAGTTTTTAAAAATGTTTTTTTCTTCTAGTACTTTTGTAGCTTTTGTGAGCATTTAGAGTTTTTATCTGAAATAAACCCCCAAATAGATAGCCAGTTGATCCAGCAGTATTTGTTAAGGAATTCATACTCTTCCCACTGATTTAAAATGTCATCTTGCCCATATATATTGACTTCCCATATATGTAGGTCTCTTTATAGA